ATCAAGAGACACGGTAGTGTCTCGCGCCAAGTACGCGCGAAGCGAGACGCACCGTGACTCTTTTATTACGCGAACGCATGAGTTGCGAGTATCCGAGATTTTGAGATCTCAATAACGAGTGAACGGATCAATTTCTAAGTAGGTTTGATCGATAGCTTGGGGTTTGATTTATAAATAACAGTCTTTTTTTTCCGTTACGTGCCCTACGAGCGAAGATATTGCGATGCAAAGTCCAAATGTGGAAAATTTTTTTTTAAGAAACGTCCACGTCGGACAAAAATGGCGGCTGGTGTGTCACTTTCCCATTTTTGACACGAGAGTGCATTCGTGCACTGTCGCAGTGCGTGACAGTGACAGTTTTTTACAACCTAGAAAAGGATAAGTGTAAAGTGTGTGATAGTCGTGACCGTTGCCGCGTCGTGACAGATAGTGAAATATATATAAGTATTGACCGTAGAGAGCTGATGCCGATAGATCTTTAAGAAGGAAGGTGTATCTACAAAATCGTACAAACACGTACGTATATGCTGTCTTGTAAAAGTTGTCAAACTGTATGTTTACGCGAGCGTTACTTCTGTAGTAACTTACGATAATTCACTCGTTTACGCGGAGTAAATTATCGTAAGTTACTACAAAATCCCGTTTACGCGAAGGAAAAGTCTGTTTACGCGAAGGAATTATCGTTAAGTTTACTACAGAAGTAACGCTCGCGTGTAAACGTAGTAAGTGAAATATATAAAGTATTAACCACAGAGAGATGTCGAGGAGATCTTTAAAAGAAGGAAGGTATATTCAAAATGGCACACGTACGTATATGCTGTCTTGTAAAAGTTGTCGAACTATATGTTTACGCGAGTGAGTACATCTATATAGTAACTTACAGTAATTCATATTAAGATACGTCGTCGTCTCTCAATCAGAGAAACGTAACCTTCACTACTTTCAACGGTGGCTCTTGATTTCCGATCATAATAGTTACTATAAAATCTCCCGTTTACGCGGAGGAATTATCGTATCGTAAGTTACTACAGAAGTAACGTTTGCGTAAATAGGTTATAAAAATAACACGATGTTATATATGTGGTTTGCCGTGAATATATATATATGTGTGTGTGTGTGTGTGTGTGTGTGTGTGTGTGTGTGTGTGTGTGTGCGCGTGTGTGTGTGTGTGTGTGTGTGTGATTTCTGCCTAGTGCTCTGAATGTCATCTAGTCATACATATTCACTCGTTTACGCGGAGTAAATTATCGTAAGTTACTACAAAATCAAGAGACACGGTAGTGTCTCGCGCCAAGTACGCGCGAAGCGAGA